AAAGTCAGCAGCTGGACCAGGCTCTGTACTGTCACACCAGAGTAACACTTCTCGATTCCACAAGGGGCTGGACTGAGCTATGTCCCCACCTCTTTGTGTTATGGGTCTCCAGGAATGAAATGACTTGGCCTCCCTTCCAGACCCCAGCACACAAGCCTGTGCCTTCCAGCAGATCCTAGTTGAGCGCACAAGTGTCTGCTGACCCCTTGTGGTCACTGTGGGATCTGTCCTGGCCCAGCCGCCAGGGCCCGGGGTGCTCCTCTGGGACTTTCTGGCCTCAAAGCGCTTTCCCACCTTTTACCCCGTGGGCTCCTCCCTACAATCCCAGGAGGCAAGGAGAGACAGGATTCCCACTCCCACTTTACAAATGAGTGGCAGCATCCTGCGATCCAGTCCCAAATCCACCATGAATTCCTTACAGGCCCAAGTGACCTGCACAAGGCAACTCTAAGGTTTTTTCAGTCCCACAAACTCTCAGAGTGGAGAGGTGACTTGCCCAAGCCCAAGGTGACTTGGATTCAGAGTGAATCCAAGCAGAGGCACTCCCAGTGAGCAGGTCACCCCATGTCCTCACACTGATCAGGAAAACTGAGAGGATCACAGCAGACAAGAAAACTAGTTCCTCCACCTTTGTGTTCTGATTGTGTGCTGAAGGGCCACATGGAGAGTTGAGTGGATGGACAGACGGACTGACGGGATGGATATGTAAGAACTTTGCGTTTCCTCTTCACTGCAGCTGGAGCAGCTAGATGCCTCCCCTGCTCCCCGACAAGCTGTGGCTAGAATTCTAGCTGCCTGGCCCCTTGGCAGCCTACTCCACACTCTCCTGCTGGGGTTTCAAAGCCACTACCCCTGACAGTCTGGAGCTGGGACCCCCAATGAGGGGAATGAGTAATCATCCAAGACTTCCTCCCTGCCACGTCACTGACCTCTGTGGAGGAGAGTCAGGGGCCAGGGCCATGAACAGGCCCACAGCATGGGTATCCCTCACAGAAGCTGTTTCTGCCGCCAACAATGGCTGAAATCGAGTTTGGTGCTCACAATGGGGCTGAGGATCACCAGAGTGACTGGACGATATGGAAAGAGTGTGCCCTATGCATCTCGCAGTCTGGCTCAAACCTACTGACTCTGAGCAAGTTCCTTAGCCTCTCTGTGCCTTGGTTTTCTCACCTATAAGATGGGCATAATACCTGACAAGTGTTGTAAGGATGGAATGAGGTAAGATAGGAAATGCCTTGCATATAATAGGTGCTCGGTAAATAGAACTTCCCTCCTTTTGTTCCAGGTCGTGGAAAAATTCTGGAGAGGGAAGGAAAACAACGTCCACTGTGCCCCCAGCAAGTTTTCTAACCTGGGAGGTTTTTCCAAGTACTCTAAAGCATGTGGTGATAGAGAAGGAGGGAATGAAATGTATTTTCAGCAAGAATTAAAGGTACGCTCAAGCAGACTGGATCCCTTTAAAAGAGAGTATAAAAAAACTAATGGACAAAGAAGATGTGGTATATATACACAATGGAAACTACTCAGCCATCAAAAAAATATATATGAAATCTTGCCATTTGCAACTATGTAGATGGAACTAGAGGATATTGTGCTAAGTAAAATAAGTCAATCAGAGAACGAAAATTATCACATGATCCACTCATATGTGGAATTTAAGAAGCAAAACAGAGGATCATAGGGGAAGAGAGGAAAAAATAAAACCAGATGATATCAGAGAGGGAGAAAAACCACCAGAGACTCTTAATCATAGGAAACAAACTGAGGGTTGCTGGAGGGGAGGTGGGTGGGAGGATGGGGCAATTGGGTGATAGACATTAAGGAGGGCACGTGATATAATGAGCACTGGGTGTATATAAGACTGATGAATCACTGACCTCTATCTCTGAAACGAATAATACATTATATGTTAATTAATTGAATTTAAAATTCTTTTAAAAAGAGTATCATTCATCTGTCCCCTGCCCTCAGCATAGTTCTTCAGACACAAAGGGTATTCCACGGAGATTCCCTGAGGGTGACACTGGGAACATCTTTTCACAGCCATTGGGCAGTAGGAGGGACTCCTGGGCCCTACTTCATCCATCTCATCTAGATCTCCCTAACCCAGCCTAACTCTCCCTCAATAGCTTATATCCAACCCAGGATCACTGCAAGGTCTTCTTAGCCACCTGGTTGAAGAGAGACTTGGGTTTTAGCCCAGCTGACATTACAGCTGTGGCCCTTGCAACACCATCTGTGAAATCACACTCCAGAAGGCTCTAGGTCCCAGGCCCTCCACTTCCAACTAGAGTAATAAAGATGGGGAACTTAACACATGGTGGTTAGGAGATGGTCTCCAGAGTGAGACAGGCATAGGGTGGCCTTTGTCACTTACTAGCTGCCCAAACTTAGGTGGAATTCTTGCTCTCTTAACCTCGATTTCTCACCTATAAAAGGGGGCTAATAAAATTACTTACTCTATTTTTGGGAAGATTCAATGAATCATGTTTGAAAAGAGCCGAGCCTTGTGCCCGGCACAGGAGTGCTAAATAAATGTTAATATGGTGATAGTCTTGACTACTGGAATGGGCTTCCAGGTAAGATTTCATCTGAACTGAGAGTTGTGCACATGAGCACATGTGTATGTGTGGCCACTGAACTAAAGACTCTATAAACCTCTCCTTAGCTTCAAGATTCTATTTCTCGAATAATATCTTCCCAACCAACACCCCTCCATTCTTCCCTTGCTAATTTTTCTTCCCTTTAATCTTCTTTTTCCTTCCCAACAATTAAGCGGCCTCTCCAGAGTTCCATCAGTGCTTGTCCCCTGCTTAAATGCAATATTCCCTGGTTTTTAAAGCAAAAATGGGAAGACTGAGTCCACAGAATTAGAAGTGAGTTGGTGACTTATAAAATTAACTCATTAGGTCAACATCTCACTCCCAGGGAATCCTGCAGTCCTTTGGGCTACAGCATGAGGATGCAAAGACCCTCAGCCAAGGCCAGCCATCCAGGAGGGTGCATGTGGCTGGAGGCTAGACTGGAGTCAGGCTCAGGGAGGCTGCATTAAGCGAGATCCTGGAGGTAGGGAGACCCTGGGGACAGTTTAGAGAAAGAGGGGCTGGGGCTGCTCTGTGGGCCCTCTGAAGACTCCAAGATCCCCAAAGCCTTTCCCCTTTCCAGGCACACTGGTTGATGGCCAAGGAAAAATATTTGTTGAAAGGAAAGACACCAAGGTGCTAGCAGAGGTTGATCTAAGAGGTTTTTGGCAGACGTGGTCATATTGCTTCTGTGATAAACTCTAAATATTTAAAATCAATTATTCTAAACAGTTGTGATCAGCCAAGAAAACAGACAAGAGCTTGGAAAAAAGTCTGTTTTCATCCCCACTGAAAAGTAGCACGCTCCAGTTCTCAAGGGAAGACCATAAAGGAAGAAAAGAAAAACATCATGAACCAGATCAGGCTCCGGGATATTCCGTTCAGAGGAAGGCCTGCGGCCAGGCACCAAGCCTGGAGAGGGGCGTGATGAACGTGAGGATGAGCACAAGTAAGGAGGACTTCCTGGGGAAGTCTTCCCAAAGCCACTGAGAGGACTGATGTCCTTATCCATTATCCAGCAGGTGCTGTGATGCAGAATGACCACTCCATGGCAGACAGGAAACCTGCTTCTAGTTCTCTGCCATTAACTTGCTGCAGGACCCTACGCAAATCAAGTCACCTCTCTGGGCCTCGGTTTCCTCATCTGTAAAATGAGGGGCCTTGGTTAACTTAAAAAACATATATACTAGGCCCTTGCTCTGTGCACTGTGCTAAAGCTATAATACAAAGAGGAATAGTCATTTAGTCAGAAAACACTGAGTGACGACTAGGCATTTACTAGGCATTGTGGCTACAAATGAGTAAGTTAGGATCTCCGCCATTAAGACGTTTACAGTCTGGTCAGGGAGACAGTGAGCAAACAAGAAATGGCCAACCACACACTCAGTGCAGACAGAGGTGTGCGCAGAGGAAGGAGTGGCCTTTTCTACTGGGGCCAGGTGGGGGGAAGTGTCATGGGAGAGGCCTGGACTGGATGTTGGAGGATCCTTGGTCCCTGCTCTCAAAGACTGTATCATCTAATCAGGGGTTAGCACAAATGCCCAAATAGCTACCACACAAGGCAGAATTAAGCCACCCTGGGTAATCCAAGCTCAGAGGGTAGAGGAAACCCATGTGACAAAGGGGGTGGGGGGGAAGGGCAGGCAGGAAGCAGAAAGAGGTCAGAAAAGTTTTGTAGAAAATGGCATCGAGATAAGCTTTGAAGGATGGGGGCTGAAGGGGTATTCTGGATGAGGGGCCTGTGCATGTAAAGGTACGATGTGGGGACTGTCAGGTGTAGTCAGGATAGCAGGTGAGGCCAGGGACTGGAGACTGGCAAGGCCAGAAGCCGTCAGGGAGCCATCATGATAAGAGCCATTGGCAATGATGGGCCCTGGGCCAAGCATTCCACGTCCTCACGCCAGTTGTTGGAGGCAGCTTCCCTCACTACCACCCATTCTTTCGGATAAGGAACCAGAGGTTCAGAGAGGTTACAAACTCACACAGCTGATGGGTGGCAGATATAGCACTTCACCTAGGTCTGTCCCATGCCTCACCTTGACCCCCTCACCACTAGACAGTGGCACTACTGAATCCTTCCCATCTAAGGTACCACTCACTGTCCCAGGACACTGGGCCTGGCATTTCACTTCAGACAGGTGGGTACCAAAGGTGGATCTTGGCCTTAACCATAAGCCAGCTTGATTCAGCCTCCTCCCAATCAGGCAGCTACCGGTCCATCAGGATCGCCTTCACCAGAACAGATGGGGTGGTGGGGCAGGGCAAGGAATGCTACAATTGCTGAGGGCTTTTGTGCTCCGCTGTCCGCTGGTCTCAGTTTATTGTTGTTCTACGATGGTGTAGGCTGGCTAGCTTCTGCCTCTCCTCCGCCTGTAGCCTAGTGTCGTCATGGCCCAGGGGCAGATTATTCCGCCTTGACTAGGGTGGCTGGCTTTTCCTGTTACGCTGGAGTTTGAAGTGGACCTTGTACACGCGGATGCTATCCAGGTACTGCTGGATGTTCATGGATTCCCGTCTCCAGCACCCCAGCTTCCTGAGCTGGTCTGTCATGAACTTTTTCTTCAGATGGTCGTATAAGTGGCTCATCTTTCTCTTGGTCCTGTCTGAGGCTCTTATCTTAAAAAAACAAAAAAAAAAACAAAAAAAACAGAGCTGATATTAGGATGAAGGAGCTACTTCACAGAAAGTGAGACATCAGTGCTGCTGATGGCGCAGCGCGGGGCGGGGGGTGGGTAGGGTGGAAAATGAGCCAGCTGGACCCAATAGTCCCTAAATAGATTGACTCATAGTAAGCCTCAGTCTCCCTATTTCTAAAATGTGGGCATTGAGCCACATAACCCCTATGGTACCTCTGACAGTCTGCAGCCCAGAAGCCTGATTTGGACCTCAACATCTCTATTGGAAAACTGGTCAGAAAGAGGTGTGTGGTGGGGAGAGTGGAGAAAAGGTGCATCCAGTTCCTCCCCCTCCATAAATCCTATCACCCTGTCCCTAGTACTCACTTAGTGCTTCCCACATATTGTCTCTGACATCCCCTACATCACAATGACCTCTACTTATTTTGTCTAGTGTATCATTTCTGCCCTGTCCCCAATAAGACTGATGTGTCTAGAAAGGCACATCCTTTATCTTACTCACTCATTTGCTTTTTCCAGTGAGCTAGCTGTGAAGTGGACACTAACAAAAATCAGCCGCAGGTCTTCAGAGGGACTACAACATCGTCAGGAAGCTGGGGCACATGCCCAAACGTTCCTAAGTGAGGCAGAGAGTGACACATCCCTACAAAGAAGTACAGAGCTCAAAGAAGGGAGATACCAAGAAAAGCCTCATGGAGGGTTGACTTATAAATTGGGATTGGGTTTTGGAGGATGGGGAAGTGTTGGGCATGTGAAAACAGAACCAAGTGGGGGGGGTGATCCTGGGAGCTGACATTTTTGCAAACCCTCCTGGGGATTCTAAGCCCTGACAGTGTCTCAAAACCCAGCACAACGTAGGCAAAGGAGAGCTCCATTTAAGGCCAGTGTTGCCATGATCATTGTGCAAAGGGAACAAGGGATGAACCAAGAACCTAAGTGGATCTTGGGAACAAGGGATGAAGAGGGAGGGTGGGTGTGTTCTCAGAGTGTGCTCAGATGATTCCCAAGACACAAGGTCTTAGCTGTTCTTGTCAAGGTCCTGAGAAACCAGTGGCTAGCCAATAGCTGCCTCTTCTCCTCACGTGAGCACTTTGGGGGAAGGGGCTGGCGGGGGGGGGGCGGAGATAGAAACACTGCCATGCTGCCACTCAGGCCTCACATCCACTGAGCTCCTACAAGCTGGGCCCTTAGCAAGTCACCAGGTCTACAAATAAGGAGAAGACAGTCTTCATCCTAAAGGGAAGATGCCAGTCAGACCCAGGTCTGCAACTCTACAATGATGCACTGGATGACCTTAGTGAAGTTACTCCATCTCTCTGAGCCTCAATTTCCTGAGCTATTAATAATACATAATACATAATGGATGTTCAATACCTAAAGCACATAAGGGCTCAATACAGCTTTAAAAGGAGAACTTCTGGATGCCTGGAGGGTGGCACAGCCTTCTGATACATATAAAGCACCGCAGGAGAGTCTCCAGTTACAGCATCTCATGGATCCTCACCCCACTTGCCAGAGATAGAACATCCCCTGCCTCCGCTGGTGATAGAAATTGGCCCCCAACCCATCCTGGGCCAGTCAAAACAGCCCACACCACCTGGTCACACTGACTGCGGCAAGGATGGGCCAGTGACACACCCTGGGCCAACTGGAGTTTCCCCAGGATTTGTCTAATGTGAGCAAGAGTGGAAGCACTCCATTTCCTTTCTAGGCTACGGGCCAGGCTTTCCCTGGCCATGCTCACCAGGGACAGCCAGCCTGATGATTATGCCAACATGCACAAAGACACAGAAAAGAGATGAAAAAGTAAAGTGGAAGACACATCCAATGGTACTGGAGTCCCGGACTCCTCTCATCCCAAACATTGGTGACCCTGCCCTACCCATCCTTGATTAGGTAAACATTTCGTTCTATTTTACTTGTACTAGTTCAAGTTTAGTTTGAGTCACCAGCAACTGAGAGGATCCTAATAGATCCTATTTTACAAATGAAAAAAGGGAGTCCTGGAGGAAATGTCATCCCCTGAGGTCACAAAAAGCTGGCTTGTCCATTGCCAAGTCCACCCTCTTTCCACTACACTGTGCCGCTGAAGTTTAGCAGAGAGAGAAACACCCAGACCCCTGCTCTTCTTTTGGTCTCTTTGGCCTTTAAGAGGATTTAGCTCCATCTCTTGAGCCTCTCCTACTCTTTTTAATGTCAGAATCTCATAGGCCCATCTAGATTTGGCCCTGGAACATGGAGGGAAGTCAACAGAGTCAAGAAGGAGACAGCAGTTCAGGCGCCTGGGTGGCTCAGTCGTTAAGCATCAGCCTTCGGCTCAGGTCATGATCCCAGGGTCCTGGGATCAAGTCCCGCACCAGGCTCCCCGCTCGGCAGGAAGCCTACTTCTCCCTCTCCCACTCCCCCTAAAAAAAAAACTGCTCTTGCTATCTCTCTCTCTGTCAAATAAATAAATAAAATCTTAAAAGAAAAAAAAAAGAAGGGGACAGCAATTCAACTCTGGGATTTCTGCTCCACTTGAAGAAATGAATACATTATCACAGTCCATTGTGTTCACCAGGGTCTTCCTAGTGCCCAACACAGTGCCTATCCCAAGCAGCCCCTAATGATGCACATAATGAATTAAATTGAGTCTGTGTGGTGACAACACTGTTTTCCTTCCCCTTCTTCTATGGATTTTGGGGAAGCAGGTCCAACTCTACTTGTCCATAAGCAGAAAGGGGAGGGGCCTCAGTGCTCCTCCAGGTAAAGGAAAAAACAGACCAAAGAGTATTGATGCCATTTCAAACTCCAAGACCCAAGATTTCTTTCTACAGGAGATAGTAGGAATCCATTCATGGATCCTCTAGAGAAATAACATGATTGGAGGGGGGAAAATGCCACAGAGCCAAAAAATATGGAAACCTTCTCCCTGGCTCCCTCGGCCCAGCAATAGCTATGACATCTGGGGCAAACCAGTAACCTCGAATCTCAGTTGCCTCCTCTGTAAAATGAGACTTGCTTTAGAGCACCTTGATCACCTCTAAAATCCGTGATTCCCCCCCACCCCCCACCCAGGCTATTGGTGAGGGTGAAGTGAACACGGGTCAAGCCACTAACACCCTCTAATGCAAAAGCTTTTGATGACTTTACCTCCATCTCATAGATCCGTTGTGCACTGAGGTTGTCACGAATAATCACCCGGGATAAGTTGCTCTTGGGTAAAAATTTTTTCACCGCTGCTTCACTGGAATTCATTAAGCTGGAAGTGGGAGGGAAAAGTGGCACAGGGTGAGATGGCTGGGGCCAAGGCTAGGACAGGGACTGATTTGATGGGGTCCTAGGGGAGTGACTGAGGCTTCCCAGGATTCTTAGGAGAGGCACAGCTGCCACAATTTTCGGAGGAGCAAGGGAGTAGGCCTAGGCTTCCTCTTGCAGAAAATGTGCACTAAACGGGTATTTTCTGGATGCTGAGAGGAAAAGTCATCCTGAGAAAGATGTGGAAAGGCCCGAAGTGTGAACAGGACTCAAAACTGTCCTCAGAAGCAACCATCTTAAGGAGAAAAAATAGGATGAGTTGGGAGGTGGGGGTCTTAGAGAAGAGCAAAAGTTGTAGGGTAGGGTTCAGAGGAATGAATTTGAGGCAGGTGAAGTGGGGAGCACTTGCTCCAGAGCCTAGGTCTAAGAAAGATTGGCAGGGGGAGGGATCAGAAGAAGCAGGAAAAAGAGGAATGGAGGTTAGGCTGGTTAACAGGGGACTTCTAAGGGAAGAGGGTTTGGAAAAAGTCTAGAAAAGTGAGGGAAGTTTGTGGTGGAAAAAGATGGGGGGGGACTTCCTAAGAGGAGAGGACGAAGATGGGATGGGAGGGGTTGGGGGGGGTAATGGGGGGGGTAATGGACTGGAGCCAGGTGCTCCAGGTGAAACTAGAGATAAAAATTTGGCCAAAATGAAGAATTGGTCAAGAATGCATAACGCCAGGCTTTTGCTTTTTGATAATTTACTTACACCATGAAGTGGTTTTGCAAATATGTACCTCTAAATGTTTTTGCCCATTTCAAAATAATTGTTCATATTTTCTTCCTAAAATTTGTAAATTAAGTGTACAATAGAGAAGCAATGGAATAAATTCTAATTAGGCCATACAATAAAATACTATGCAGTCATGAATAAAACAGATATCCGTAGTGTATTAGGTGGGAGGGTGGGGGGAGTAGGTAACATAGTAGTGAAATTTCTTGTGATAAATTTTTCTCCCCAAAGTTGAATCACCATGGTGTAGTACTTATATATGAATGGATCTGGAAGAATATACACCAAAATGTTAACAGTGATTGTCTGTGGCCATTCATTTTGCTTGCTTGTCTTGTCTGATCTTCCTATAAGGGAAAAAAAAAATGATAAGGACAAAAAAGACAATATTTAAAGGTTAAAGCATTTTGAAGGACTAAAAAAAAAAATTCTAATTCATTTTCAGCCAATCTGGAACTATGGTTTTATGAATGTTTTTACATTTATAGACTAGTATAAACAAATGTTTCCAGTCTCTCATTTACATTTTTCTGACAACAAAGGCATGAAAATAAAAAGGCTGACATACAAAAAAGGAGATGCTCACATAAAAACGTCTCCCATATCCTGTTAAAAAACCAAACAAAACAAAAACCCGTAAAATATTTAAAGACACATAAAACGCTCTTCGCCTACTCAGTGGTGCACCAAATTTACCAATACTTCCTGGAAAAGTTTAAAAAGGTGGGGGGAACAGAGACTGTAAATATCCCCTTTCAAGTCATAAACGGTCATTTTAAACCAAATTGTTTTCCAACGCAAGGCCTTTGTGGGAGCCTAGAGGATGCTGCCAGGGCTGTGGAAGGGAAGGGAGGGAGGGGAAGTTGGGGTCTGTGCGACTCGCCTGAGCTGAGGGGCTTTCCCAGGACTCCTGGAGAACGTAGAGGCTGAGGAGAGAGGTGTCAGGCCGGAAGGCACCTGGGCCTCGCTAGGCTCTAAGGAAGTTGAAGGCCGGCCCAAAGGGCGCTGGGGACCCCGGGGCTATACGATGTCAAGCCTGGGAGACTAAAGAGCCGGGGAGATTCCGAAGACATGCAGGTGGGAGATGGGAATTCCAGCTTCTCCTGGGAGTCCAGGCTGAGGGCGTTTGGACTCCCGAGCTCCTGGGGGTGCGAGGTGCTGGCCTGGGAAGGGGCCGGGTGGGGCTCGCATCTGTGAGAAATCCAGGCTCTGTTGGGGTTTAAGAGAGTGCTAGGCTCTGACGGGCTCGGGGCTCTGGGAGAGCCACGGCCGAGGTGCCAAGGGACGCTGGAGGAGCGGGGGTCTGAGAATAGCCCTAGGCATCCGGGCTGCACCTGAAGAGCACCAGGGGCTGCGCGGTCCGCGGCCGCAGGAAGCTGATCTGCGGATGGGTCCCTACGTGGATTTCGGGTTGGCGGCTGAATCTAACGTGCGGGGAGGCCCAGGTCCAGTTGGTGCCGGAACTGGTAGTCGCCTGGGAGGCCGAAAAAACCGATGGCGAGCCCAGGTCCCATTTGACCGAGGGCCTGGACTGCTGAGCAGCCGAGTCTACCATGCTCCACAACGACTCGGCAGGGGGAGGCAGAGGAGGGCGAGCGCGGGGAGGCAGAGGAGGGCGAGCGCGCTGAGGCCGAGTGAATCCCTGCGCCGACGCGGCGCGCAGAGCAAGGCGCGTTGCCCGGGAGACGCGTGACGGAAGGTGGGACCTTGGGGCGGGACGTAAGCGCGGAGTCTAGGAGGCTGAGGACGCGGCAGGATTGTCCCTCGGCGGCCGTCGTGGTGCAGCCCGCCGCGTTGCCGTGGAGACGAGCCGGGCGAGATGGAGCGGGCTGCCGCGCGCTGAGCTGACACTACCTCTCCGCTAGGACTCATGTGGCCCCCGCGTGATCGCGGGGCGGGTAACCGAGTAAGGCCGGGCGGGGCAGCTCCAGGGAACCGAGACGAGGCTGGGGTTTCTCCGAAGACCCGGCGCTGCGGATTCCTCACCGCGAGGAGGGACCATTGCTATGGAAACCAGAGCGCGGGGCAGCGGGGGATTGTGGCTCCCGGATGGTGACCGATCTTCTCTCTCCCCGACACCCTCGCCCGAGGCTTCGGGCGCGGTTGCTTCCTGAACGAACCTGCCCTCCCGCCCACGGGAGAGAGGTAAGACTGTGGGGGCTCTTAACATCCAGGAGGCGAGGGAGCCCATTCCAACGTCAACTCCCCAGAAAACGTAGGAGGCTCACTCCTGAAAGTGGCTCTTTGCTCTTGTCAAGCCGTGGACTTCGTCCCACGCTTATAAACCGGTATTAATGAATGCCCCGGGTGTTTGCCGACTTTTCCCACACGTGATGAGGCCAGAAAGACCAGCTTTCGGATCTTGCTTCGTGACCCTAGACAGGTCCTTTTCTCCTCTCTACTTCACTTTTACGTGTGTAAAATGGAGATAATAACTACAGACACCTATTATGTTGGCTTGAAGATCGAACCAGATGAAGGAAGCCTAAGGCTTTGTAGGCCGTAAAATGGTGAAACTGATCACCACCACGCTCCCCCTCACGCTAAATGTTCTTCAAATCTTTATGTCATTTCTTGAGGCGATCTTTGCCACTCCCTCGCCCCGAGCCTGAAATAAACCCCTTTATTCTTCACTCCCATAAAGCCCTACATTTCACCGTCCCTAACAGCAGCAAGAATAGTTACCATTTATAGAGGGCTTACTCTGTGTCAGGCCCCGTGTTAAACACTTTACCTGGGGTTACCTCATTTCATCCTCAGAAGATCCTTATAAGACAGGCACTGTTATCCCTATTTTCCAGCTCTGTTGTGCCTATAATTGCCTATTTAATGTCTGTCTCTCCCACTAGACTTTGAGCTCTGTGAGAGAAGGGGCCATGACTGTCTTGTACATTTCAATACCCCCAGCACCTAATACAGAGCCTGATAAATATCTCTTGACTAGCATTAAAAAGTCTCTCCTCCCATCCCTACCCTCACCATCAAGAGAAGTCTTCTCTGCACACTCATTGTCCACTGTGATGAATAGCAGTTCCCTCTATTCCTGTTGCCCACTGGGCACTAATTTTGGAGACCCTCAGTCCACTTTTCTCTGGGTTTTCGGGTGATAAGGATCCATCACTTTGGGTGATGGAACATCCCTTAGCATTTAGGCTTTCAACTGAGTTTTGGAGAGTTTTTCTCTGCCCCCACGTGACCTTTAGAACAGACAGCCCCATCTGGCCTTCCTGGGGTGAGTCTGATGCATTTGACTCTGGGGCATTGGCTGGTAGGATTTCCTATGTAGCCTTTGTCCTTCCTCTCCAGCAACTTAGGAACCACCGTCACCTCCACCAAGCTCTTCCCCCAAATTCTAGACAAACAAGGCCAGAAAACTCATCCTTTCCAGAAGATCTCTGAGATGACAGAGTTGTGGCTGTTGGAGCCATTCCTCATTCAACAAATATTTATCAAGCACTTACTTATATGGACAGAGAACTTAGCATTGGTGATACAGTAGGAGTAAAGATAGTTACAGTGAATCGCAGTAGAACCACAGACAAATCAAGACAAAACCACATCTTTAGGAAGTGGTAGGAAGAAGAGCACATGGAGCTTAGAAAGCCTGGAGCAGGGACTTGATTAAACCTGGGGGAAGGGTATGGTTCCAAGGGGTTTCCCTCAGGAAGTGACCCTTAGCTAAGATCCCAAGTCCTCTGTTGAATGGAACAGATCAGGATCTGATGGGCTTGTAGGGAAAGAGGGTTCTGGGCCAATTCTGGGCCAAGAGAACAGCAAAGGCAAAGGCCCTGGGCCAGGGAGGACCAGGTATCATATGGCACTGCAATGGCTCAGCCTAGCCAAGGCCTTTCAGGATGGAGCAAAAGAGGCTAGAGATGGGCAGGAGCCAGACCACAAATGGCCCTGACAGTCAAGCTAAGGGGCTCCATCTCATCCTGACAGTGGGCAGCCAGTGAAATATATTAAGCAGGGGAACAGAACTCTGCTCCTCATTTGTCTCTGCCTGATGACAACTGCCATTTGGCCTTGAGAAGTGTGCTCTAAATCCGAATACTCCTGTTTCAGTGGAACATGTGAAAATGTGCTATTTTTGCAGCTTTGTGCAAGACTGGGAGAGTGAAGGGCCTGGGATTTCTTAGGACAAAGCAGGGGTGTGCCCCTCGCTGGGGTGCATGCCACAACCCTGCTGCGCACAGCATCATGCTGGTATAGCTTGTCTACCTGAGGCCCCTCTTCTTCTCTGGGAGCTGCTGTAGTGCCCCTCATGCTGGCCTCCAGGAAGCTTCCAGCCGCCTTCTTCCCTAGGTGCCCTTCTTAGAAGCCAGTTGCAGGAGCTTGGCTCATGATGTAGGACTCTGTAATTGATGTCACATTCACAGGGGCACATCCTGTCTCTTCAGAGGGATTCTGGGAGTGGGGAAGCTGAGACCCTTCTCTCTCTTATACCACCGGTGACTCCTCATGTCACTGCTTCAGAGTCTCATGATTTGAGCAGAAAGTCAGAACAGAAGCAAAACTGGGCAAGTGGCCGTGTGAACCTAGACAGAGAGGCCAGGGCGCAGCTGATGGACACAAGTCAGCCTGCCCAGCTAGAGATGTGGAGCCTCCCAAGGGAGGCCTTGACTTCCAGAGTTGGAGATAAGTTCTCTGGGTAGTTCTGCTGTGATGGTCAGAGGACCGCCTTGGGGATCCTGTTATAGACCCACCCATCCACTTCCCAGAAATCCCCTGGGGTTGGCTCTCTGGCCCAGCTGGGCTCCTGCTCTCTAAGCATTCTCTCCCTCCTTGCAGTTTTCCATGGCACAGCCCAACAGAAAGATGTAGTCCTTGTGCCTCACTGGCTGCTGACCCACTGGCCTAATGACAGCACCCCTGTGTACGTTTCCGGTTCAGTTCCGGCAGCCCTCGGTCAGTGGCCTCTCACAGATCACCAACAGCCTGTATGTCAGCAATGGGGTGGCCGCCAACAACAAGCTCATGCTCTCCAGCAACCAGATCACCACAGTCATCAACGTGTCGGTGGAAGTGGTAAATACCTTATACGAGGACATCCAGTACGTACAGGTGCCTGTGGCCGACACACCCATCTCGCGTCTCTGTGACTTCTTTGACCCCATTGCTGACCACATCCACAGTGTAGAGATGAAGCAGGGCCGCACGCTGCTGCACTGTGCTGCTGGCGTGAGCCGCTCAGCTGCCCTCTGCCTGGCCTACCTCATGAAGTACCATGCCATGTCCCTGCTGGACGCCCACACATGGACCAAGTCATGCCGGCCCATCATCCGACCCAACAATGGCTTTTGGGAGCAGCTCATCCACTATGAATTCCAGCTGTTTGGCAAGAACACCGTGCACATGGTTAGCTCCCCTATGGGAGTGATCCCTGACATCTACGAGAAGGAGGTCCATTTGATGATTCCACTGTGAGCCTGCCAGCACCCCCCACACCTCTGCACCCAGGTCAGAGGTGCAGATCTGCTGTTGACCCCCCACCAAGATCTGAACTTAAAACGTTCCACTTTTGCTGATACAGAAAAAACAGATGATGCCTTTTATAAGGGCCAGAAAAAAAGGAAAGATGCTGTAGCTTCTAACCTTATTATCCGTATCTTCAAAGATTAAATTCACTAACTGTACAATGGTGCAGAGAAATTTCCTACCCTTCTAAGTGACAGGTCATGGCTGCTGGCCAGTGGGGAGAGTGAGGCCATTGCCCAGGTCAAGTGGACTGGCGCCTAAAGCGTTTGGCAAGCCTGCAATCCTGCTGCCCTCCCCCAGACCGACTAACCTAGGAATGAGTCAGCCACAATTCCACTCAATTCTTTCAAACCTGAAGCCAGAGCCTTAAGCATCATGGCACTTCCTGTGCTGTTCACAGTATGTGCGCTGACCCACTAGGTAAGTGGCCTTCAGGTGGTACCCCGGGAGTCCTGGGGTCCCAGGCCAACCCTGCTTCCACCTTTGACCCACGGGGGCCCATCTCTGGTTTTCTGGATTTGATTTACACATGACATCATTTTCAAAGAACGCATTCCACAGTATAAAATTTTTTAAAGATATTTTCGATTTTGAGTGCCTTTGTAAATGGCAAGGTCTCAAAGAACCCTTGGCAGCCCCCTGCCAGCCTTTGACGAAAGGTGGCATGAGTTTCCTTCTTAGGGGCACATGTGGAGAGCAGGCCTGATATCAGGCTTCAGAGGTTCCTCTCACAGGTCTCGATTTGAAAGGCCGGAGCTATAGGCCGGAACCTAGCCTTGTCACCTCCTCCCCCATGTGATCGGGACCTCTTGGCACCTCAGCTTTCTCATCTGTCCAAGCAATGACAGCCCTTTCCTCACAGCATTGTCATGGAGAGTCAACGATCCCTTAACACGGCGCCTGGCACGTGATAGGTGCTTATGGTAGCAACTTTCGTCCTGAATGATGCTTTGGCCCTGCTGGTCTGGGTCAGCATGGTCATCCTTATGATGACATTTCCCCCATCTGTGCATAGCCCTTCATTGTTTACAAAGTGCTCTTCCAAAATGTCATCCTGTGGGGAAAAAAGTGGTTTGAGGCCTTTCAGACCCTACCTTAGAAGAGGCCTAGACTTTGTAGCCTTTTCAGAGTTTCCATTGTGTTGAATCCACATGTGACTGGGGGTCCTAAAGCAAGGAGCACACTTCCAGCTTCCCCCAAAAAGGCCTTGTTTAGATTGCTGACCATTAACGCCAATGCTAACCACTGGGGTGCGCAGGGACAAATGAGTGGGCCCCACCGATAGGCCCTGAAATCCAGGATTGTTCAAACCCACCAGGGGCCTGAGGATCTGACTCAAGACCAGCTGTTCTAATCCAGAGGTTTTCAGAAGAACAATATATGAGACAGACAAAAGCACAACTGCTCTGTGAGTCCAGAGCCCAGTGGAAGCCAAATGCCTTCTCCCTCCAAACTACCCAACCCCCATTTCCATAAAGGGCATGCCCAGGGGTGTAATTTTAGGGTGCAGGGGAGAAGGAAAAGCCCTGCTTTAGACTGACTTCTCGTTTTACAGACGAATAAACAGACCCACAAACACCAGGGCTGGTGTAGCAGAGCCCCCACAAAGCAGCCTTTCTGGAAGAAACCCAGATGGAAAATTTCTTTCATAACCTTTTTAAAGAGAAATTGATTGGGACATATTTTATCTTCATTTTTAAAAATTTTGAATTAACATACCACAAAATTAACTTTTTTTGTATGTACAGTTATGTTTTAACACATTTGTGTAACTACCTCTGCAATCAGGACACAGAGCAGTTCCATCACCCACAAAATTCTTTTATGCCACCCCTTTGTATTCAGACCTTGGCCCCACCCCAGCCTCTGGCACATACCAATCTGTTCACTGTTCCTTAGATTTGCCTTTTCCAGAATGTCACATACATAGCATCACAGAGGATGTAACCTCTGGAGACTGGCTTCTTTCAGTATGTCTTTGAGATTCATTATGTGTTACTTTTTATAGCTAAGTAGTGTTCCATTGTATGGATGACCACAGTTTGTTTTAATATTCACCCATTGAAGGATATTTGGGTTGTTTCCAGTTTGGGGCAATTTTGAATAAAACTGCTACAAACATTTGTATATAGGTTTTTATGTGAACATACGTTTTCATTTATCTAAAAAAAATACCTAGAAAGTGGGATTGGTCAGTTATATGGTAAAGGTTATGTTTAACTTTATAAAAAAACTACCAGACTTCCAGAGTAGCTATACTGTTTTGCATTACACTATGAGAGATCCCCTTACTCACTAGTATTTGGTACTGCCAATATTTTTTATTTTAGCCATTCTGATAGGTGTGGGGTATTAGCTCATTGTGGTTTTAATTTGCATTTTCCTAATGGTTAATGATGTTGAGCATCTTTTTGTGTGTTTCATTGCCTTCTGCATACCCTCTTTGGTGAAGTGTCTATTCAACTCTTTTGCCCATTTTAAAATTGGGCTGTTTTCTCACTCTTGAGTGTTGAGAATACTTTATATATTCTGGATACGAGTCCTTTGTCAGATAAGGATTTGTAAATATTTTTCCCAGTCTAGCTTGTCTTTTTATTTCTCTTAGAAGTATCTTTTACAAAGCAAAGTTTTTAATTTTGATGAAGTGCTACTTGCCAGTTTTTCCTCTTATGGACTGTTGTTTTAGTGTCATGTCTAAGATCTCTTTGCCTAACCCCAGATCACAGAGATTTTCTTCAATGTTAAAGTTTGAGGGTCTAAATTTTTTACTTATTTTTATGATCCTTTGGTATAAGGTATGAGGATTAGTTTGAGGTTCATATTTTTTCGTATAGATGTCTAATGGTTTCAGCTACATTTGTTGAAGCCTGTCCTTTATTGAGCTGTCTTTGCTCCTTTGTGTAGGTCTGTTTTGGACTCTATTCTGTGTGATATATGAGTCTTTCTCTTCACCAATACTACACTATCTTGATTACCATAGCTTTGAGGTAAGTTTTAAAGTCAGATAGTGAGTCCTCCAATTTTCTTTTAAAAAAAAATAGTTTGGGTTAGTCTACTTTCTTTGCCTTTCATATAAATTTTAGAACCAACTTGTCTGTATCAACAAACTCCTACTGGGATTTCAATTCAAAGTGTATTAAATCTTTTGGCCAAGTTGGGGAAGAATTGCCATCTTTATTCTGTTGAATCTTCCAATCCATGAATATAGTATGTCTCCCCATTGAGTTAGGTTTTTGATGTCTTTCAGCAGTGTTTTGTGGTTTTCAGCATACAAATCTTACATATTTTACTGTATTTATACCTAAGTATTTCATTTGAGGGAGAGCATTGTGAAAAAAAATTTTTTTTAATGTTGGTTTCCAATTGTGCATTGTTGGTACTATATAGAAATACAATTGATTTTTGTGTGTTTACTTTGTATCCTGTGACCTTGCTAAGAGCATTTTTGTAGATTCCTTGGCAATCTACATATAGACAATCTTGTCATGTGCAAATAAAAATAGTTTTATTTCTTCCTTTCCAATCTGAATGTCTTTGATTTATTATTTTATTTCACTGGCTGTGACTTCCTGTATGATGATGAATATGAGAGATGAAAATAGACATTCTTGCTTTATTCCTGATCTTAGAAAGTGTTCAGTCTTTTACCATTAGTTGTGTTAGCTATAGGCTTTTTGTAGTTAAGGAAGCCCTTTATTAAGTTAAGGAAGAGTAGAAAAGTATTTCTCCCCTTCTATTTACTGAAAGAGATGTGTGAATTGGTGTTATTTCTTCTTTAAATGTTCGGTAGAATTCACCAGTGAAACCATCAGGACCTGGAGATTTCTTTTTCAGAAGGATTTAACAATGAATTCAATTCTTTTAATAGTTAAAGGACTATTCAAGTTATCTATTTCATCTTGGGTGAGTTTTGGTAGTTTGTGATTTTTCAAGAATAGCTCCATTTCATCCAAGTTGTCAAGTTTATGCACATAGAGTTATTTGTAGTATTCCTTATTATCTTTATTATCTGCAGGATCCACAGAGATATCACCTTTTCATTCCTCATGCTGATAATTTGTCTTCTCTCTTTATTTCTTTGTTAGTCTAGCTAGAGGTTTATCAATTTTTAAAATCTTTTTAAACAACTACCTCCCTTGTTTTTTATTTTCTCTATTGTTCTTCCCTTTCCTACTTCATTGATTCCTATTCTTTATTATTTATGCAGTTCTGCTTGTTTGAAATTTACCTTGTTCTCTTTTCTAATTTCACAACGTAGAAACTTAGATTATTGATTTCAGACCTGCATCCCACCAATTTTGATATGCTGCATTTTCATTTTTGTTCACTTGAAAATATTTTCTAATTTCTCTTGAAATGTTCTCCTTTACCCATGTATTGTTTAGAAGTGTGTAGCTTAATTTCTAAGTATTGGAAATTTTACCACCATTTCTCTGTTACTGGTTTCTATTTAATTCCATCATGATCAGAGGGCATAAGTTGTATGATTTTATTTCTTTTAAATTTGTTAATGTTTACCATGTAGGATGTGGTTTATCTTGGTGAACGTTTCATGTGCACTTAAGGAAAAAAACATTATTTTGGATAGAGTGGTCAATAAATGTCAGCTTATTGATGATGATTGATTGATGGTGATTTCAATTCTTTTATACTCGCCCTGATTTTCTGTTTACTTTTTCTGTTGATTACTAAGAGAAGAGTGTTGGATTTTTTTTTTTTCCAGAGAGAGAGAGGGCATAAGCAGGGGGAGCGGCAGGCAGAGGGAGATGCAGGCTCCCTCCTGAGCAAGGAACCTAACATGGGACTCGATCCCAGGACCCTGGGATCACAACCTGAGCTGAAGGCAGACGCTTAACCTACTGAGCCACCCAGGCATCCCAAAGAGAAGAGTGTTGGAAGTATTTAACTAAAATTGTGGATTTGCCTACACCTCCTTTCAATTCTATTAATTTTTGTTACATGTATTTTGAAGCTTTGTTGTTAGGTACA